TTTTTCGGAAAGAATTTTTACGGAAAATTAACAAACGAACACAGAGACGTAACAATATAGACGGACAATTCAGTCAAGCGCGGTAGTAAGTAAAGTGCGTGAATCGTTCTTTGTGAATTATAGCGTGTGTTTAAGTTAAAGTTACTATGGAAATTAAGTGTATTTCAAAGTTGTATTGAGGAAGAATAAACTAGTTTTATTAAGTAAGGACTTGTGTCGCTAAAGTTTGGTCGGAACGAAGTTACGGAAAGTTAATTAACAAACGGAGACGTAACAATATTTAAAGAAGGAGAAGTACTTTGTGCAAATTCATAAAAAAAACTATTAACACAATAAAATAATAATGCACAAATGATTAATTAAATTAAAAAAATACAAAACTCCTCATTACTTTCGACAAGCTAAAGTTACCATTTTCCGTCCTTTGAGAAGTAGTCAGGAAGTTTCTGTATTTCTTTTTTTTTTTATAAGTTTTATTAATTCTTTAATCATTTGTATAGTTCTCTGCTGGTATGTTATTATTTTATTTTATGGCCCGGCATGGCCAGGTGGTTAAGGCACTCTACTCGCAATCTGAGGGTCGCGGGTTCGAATCCCCGTCCCACCAAATATGCTCGCCCTTTCAGCCGTGGGGGCGTTATAATGTGACGGTCAATCCCACTATTCGTTGGTAAAAGAGTAGCCTAAGAGTTGGCGGTGGGTGGTGATGACTAGCTGCCCTCCCTCTAGCCTTACACTGCTAAAGTAGGGACGGCTAGCGCAGATAGCCCTCGTGTAGCTTTGCGCGAAATTAAAAACAAACAAACAATTTTATTTTATTTAAGATGGTGAATAGTTTTGCCAGTGTAGATGGCCTTACAGTCATCACAAATGTAGTTATATATAACACAATAACGCATAAGTTATCGAAAGGCAGAGTTTCTGTTGAAATAAATGTATTACAAGGAAAGAAGGTTTGAGGGTAAAGTTTTCGGAAAACTGTTAATTTGTTCTTTAAGTAAGATGTTTGATTTATCTTTCAAGGTAAGAGATGTATAGGTAAAAAACACATTTTTAAGTGAAATAGACTTGATTTAGACTCAATTTTATTGTTTAGAAAATTGCGAATAAGCTAAATATTTTAACTTATATTTTGTTAACTTGTTATTGTGTTAGTAGAAAAATCGTTGTATATTTATATATATATATATATATATATTATTATATTAATTTATTGTCCTGTACATTATACTGAAGATGGATTAAGTACAGTCTGAAACGTTTGTATAAATAAATGTCATTTATCGTATCAGTCGTCTTTATTCTTAAACTACATTTCCCTCCCGAAGAATCAATCGTAATATGTATTTCATAAATTATTCCAATACATGTACAAATATAGTTTTACAACGCTTTAATAGTTTCCCAGTAACATCTGTAAACACGAATTTACATGCATTTAAATACAATTACATGTACTGACATTCCTATTTAATTTATTTCTCTGGTTTTAAATATACTGTTGAGTTATTGAAACTGTTAATGTTTATTTTTTTATTTGCAAGAACAAGATATTCTTCATACAGGTGGCGGTTAAATCATAACATGGCAGCGTCCACGAACATGAGTTCTTTCCCAGAATGTCAAGTTAAGTTTTATACCAAGCAAGTAAAGTAAGTAAATAAAAAAATCTAATAAAAATTTTACATAAACACTGAGATACGTTTAGAGGTTTATTTTCATTTGGTAGAAAGTGAGTGATTTATAGAGTAAACGTTACCATTTAATGCTGTCGTTTGACAGAGCAAGTGAATACAATTCTAAATTGTATTATACTACTACTAGGTAGGGTTATGACTGGTAATACCAGACGTCTCGATAAATCTGAGACCACTTAGTGTTTAACAATATTATTATTTTATTCCGAGTAGAAAGAGTAAAAATATTAAACTGTCCCAGTTTCTCTTTATCTCGGAGTGGAACTCGAAGTGAATTTCATATGTAGTAGTTTTATGTACAGTTTGTCATTATTTACGGCTTTTATAAATTTTACTAGGAATATTACATAGCCTTTCCAGACGAGAAAAAGAAAATGAAGAATCCACGGTTTTCTTTTGAATAAGTTGAACACCACTTAGGCGCGGTTTTTATTTTCATTAACTAGATAAATTTTTGACAAATTTTGTTTGTCTGTGGTTTTAGAACATTATGCAATAAACACCAGTATATTTAATCAATGGTAAAAAGGTTTATTGTAACTTTAAATGTTTTAAAACTGTTAGTGTCACTCCATATGTAAAAAAAAAAAATCCAGTCTGGAAATCTGGCAACTCTAAGCCTAGACTATTCTTAAAGTAAAATTCATTCTTACCACCTTAGTATTTCCTACATTAATGTTAGTCATTTGTGGTAACATTTGGTGTGAAGATTAAACATGAAAACTCATTGATATTATAAACAAGCATTCCATAATTACTTTCACAGGAAAGAGGTTAGGATGGGTCCATCATTTCTGAATGTAGGGTAATACAAGATGTGTATTGTAAACCCTCTAATTGAATACTTCACGTTATGAAATTCATGTTTGTCTTTTTATGCAGATTTCTTCTAACGATGCAGTTTTAAATACTAAGGCTCATTTTGTCTGTTAACAAAGAATTTCACTAGTCTAAAAAAAACTTTAGTGTGTACTTATTTTGCACACAGTTACAGAATATATATAAATTATACATTTTTGATATTATATACACTGTTGGAGTGTACAGATGTATAGCCTGTGATTTAATTTTATGTAATTGGGTACAAGTGTAGGTAAGAGTTCCATATGGCACCCCCACTCAATTTTAGAAAAAATTCATCAAAGTAATATTTATGTATTAATAAATCATATTAATAGTACAGAATTACGCTGACGAAGTTGGAAGCGTTAGTTACAATAGGGGTGTCAAAAGGAAATGGGGGTGCCAAAGCAGTTTGGAACATTTTTTTTTTGGTAAACCCCAAAAAGCCATGCCCCAATTTTTCTAATACGACCCTTAAAATAAACCCTTTTCAGAATCTTTTTTATCCAGGCAATTCTACAATTTTTGGGTGGGGTGCCATATGGAACTCTTTCCCAAGTGTATTACGATGTAGCTATTATACATATAAGGATTTGATCACATGAATATTTAAATATGATATTTATGAATTTTGTATTAGTGTTCTGACATTAGATACACATTAGTAAGTACCATTAGTATAATTGGGTGAGTTCTTATTTTTATCGTTTTGTTGAGTATGTTGGCCCAAAATTCAGACTTTAGGTCCTCTGTTATAATTTGTTATCACTTGTTTAATCCATAGCCTGAACTTTCATACAGTATCAGTTAGTTTGTCTCAAATTGTGATGGATTGTCTTAGTGTCAAAAAAAAATTTACAAGAAAAGACAATTTGTACTCCATATTACATTCTGCTAAAACTTTTGTCAATATGATCAATCATGTAAGAATACATTACCATTTTCTATCCGCAGATGATATAAAAAACCACCTCAAAACCAGCCCTTATTATTTAAATATTTTTCAAGCTTTTCCTTTAACTCTTTTAAATTTACTGCTTCTAGCACATCAGAAAGCAGCCCATTACAAAGGTCAGCTACCCTGTTAGAAAAATAAAACTGTTTTAGCTGAATATGACTCGTATCCTGCCAAAATTTATATTTGTGTATCTTAGCCCTGCCATTCCCACCATTAATTACAGAAAAAAATATGATGGATCAACACTATCAATTCTCTTTACAATCTTAAACACTTTAGTTAGATCCTCTCTAAATTTTTTTTTTTTCAAGATAAAAGAATTAAAGACATCTTTAGCTGTTCTTGCATAAAAACCTTTCTATCCCAGGTTATCATACTAGTAACCCTCCTCTGAACAATTTCCAACAACTCTGTTTCTCCTGTATTAAGGAGCCCAAGACTAAACCCAGTACTCCAGAAACCTATGCAATGAAATTATAACCTCTTTACAGTTTTATTCAGTACTTCTCTAGATACAACTTAAACTCTTATTTGACCTATCACTAGCAAAAGCACAATGCTTGGATGGCTTAAAGGAGATTAATCAACCATAACAAGATCCCTTTCTTTCATGACACTGTTAAGGTTTTTTAAATCACAATTATACTTATAATTCAAATTATTATAACCCACATGCATTACCTTGTATTAATTATAATTAAAAGCTTTCTGTCATTTATTCCCCCAACTTGCCAGATAATTTAAATCCTCTGAAAGGGCTTCATTATGGTCAATCCTCCATGAGGAAAACTCAGCCATTGTCATCAGACTGTAGGACAGTGGTTCTTAACCTTTGTTGGGTCAGGATTTATTTGTAAACATTGACAGCCAGTTGCAACCAAGTACATAGCTTCAGTGCAAAAAACATCTGGCTTACTACATATTTAATAAAGAAATAAACTATTACCTATTTCTAAAATATTTTTGACCCTTTCACACATACTGATGACCCAATTTGGATTGAGAAACATTGCTAGAGGGTATTATAGACCCATTTTGTTGTGCAAAGTCTAACAAAAATTGTATTAAAAAAAGCAAAATTATATTACCAAAGAGTAAAATGGAATAATTCAGTGATTCACTTAGCCTTTATTGTCCATTTGTCATTTTTATTTTGTATTTAGTATTGGCTACCCAATGGCATCACGTGTCTTGTGAAAGTAACTTTATTACATGTTTAGATTCATAATATATTCCTAATATAACTAAATAAATGTAATAAAAGAAATATAAACAGTTGTATGTGCACTAATGTGGAAACCTAGTACATGATGTTAATTAGGAATAACACAAAGAGAATTGCCAGCTCATTGAACATGAAAATGCTTCTTTACTCTATTAGAAACGAACGTACTTTAATTTTTATTTATATAAATCATATTTTATGTTACTTCTAATGGTTTCAAGCAGTTCTCTCTCAGAAAATATGCTTACATTGTTAATGTGTGTTGTACTTCATATTAGGCTTACTGAAAATGGTAAGAATCAGCGAAAACACTTCAGAGAATGATATTTTATATCCCACTCAGTCAATAATGTTAAGGCTTTGGTGCTAAACTAGCTACGTTTAAAATATAGATTGGTTTATTCTGTTCTGAGCCATCTACCAATATTATGCAAGAGATGTACGTGTGAAACCTGTTGATATTTCAGGCATTACTGAAACTGTTAAGATAGAAGTCGTTAGTCTTTTCTCTACTGTATCATCTAGCATAACTAAATAAAACTTTGTTATTTGAAAAATATAATTCATTAACATATTTTCTGCCATTGTTTAAAAGGCCAAAGGGAAATAGTTTAATTTGTTATTAAGATTGATATTACTAAGATTTTCTTCTTTTTTTTTTTCAGATATTCTTTACCTGATAGTATATTTTCAGTTCCTGGAAATGCTACTTCATCAGAACTCAGTGATTTGATTAATGCACTTTTGAAAGGTAAGTGTGAATTTAAAGACAAAACTGGCCCAAATGTATTCTTTACATAAAATACATACTTCTTTGTCAGGTCTTCAAGTGTCGTGTGATCTCTTTTAGTTGTATTTAACTTCTGGTCAACTCTTAAATTCCACACCCATTTGCTTTGTGGGTAGATTCTTTGTTAAGATGGGTCTCATTTCATTCTGTTTATATGTTCACCTCTTTCTCTGTATTCTTAATTTGAAACTTTCTTGGCAGATAACAGTCTGTTGAAGCATTGTCTAGAGCTTTGAGCTCAGTATGGTTCTTTTGTGACAGGCAAAATATTAACATCTGAGAAAAATGCAGAGATGGGCTACTGAAATGACAGTTTGAAAAATTTAACTGAGGAGAGAGACTTAAAGACCCTGTCTTATTTTCTGAGGAGTTTAGAAAAACGAAAACTTTCTTTATTCTGGTGTTTCAAATTGTTATGGGCTCAGATAAACAACCTATGGAAAGATTGATTGGAGTAATATTAAAGTTATGAAATGGGAACTTAAATATAGAAGTAAATGTTAGGGACTTTAGAAACTTCGATGCAGATTCCTTTCTTGTACAAAATAATTTTATAATAGAATTATAGGCTAAAGAAAAGGTGTATTGAATCAATTGATGTGCGATCTCTTACTGTTATTTTATATTCAGTCAAATCTTTATGAGAATTTTATATGGAGAAGAATACAATATTCACACTGACTTATTTCTTGGTCAGTAAAAGGTTGGTCTTCGTCCTGTGTGTCTTCTTGCTGTTGATGTGTTCTTCCAACTTTTTTTTAACATTTCCTATTGATCGACAAATATCTTCATTTCTAATGTTGTTATCTCTCTCTATTTTGAATACACATTGAGCCCACCCTGTGTGGACATTGCTGTAGTTCTAGTGGTTTTTACTTCTAATATTAATATCCTGTTATGTGAGGTGTGCAAATAAAAAAATCAGTTCCTCGTTCTTAAGACACCTGTTCATCATTAAAAGCTCCATAAGCACTTACTGGTACCTGTACATATAAACATCAGAGTATATTTTCATAAGTGGTCTAAATGAAATAATAAGTTATTTATTCTTGTATAAGTAAAATAAGTTTTTTTTGTATGATTTTTTAAGATAAGAAGTTTCTTGGTGAAAAGCTTTGTCTGTGATGTGAATTCTGCAGCATAAGCTATATGTATAAAACGTCTTGTAGCTTCAATCAAAATAACCTATTAAAAACAATTTCATAGCAAGTTAACTTTATCCATTACTAATAAATAGATAAATAAATCTTTGTATTATTTATCCATTTTAAAACTTGTTATTAGTATCGAATTGATAATAAACTATCTCATCTTTTCATACAATATAACTTGGTGATTTAGCATATTAACTCATGGTTAAACTTACCATTAGTGGTCAGATAATTAGTCAATTTACTAAATAATTGAGTTTGTTTCTTTTGCGTGGTAAATATATTGAACATGTGTGATCGTGTGTTGTTTTATGTGTTGGCCAAGTTATATAACCCAAAGCTTTTTAGTGTGACAAAAATCTCTGTATTACTTGTTGAGCTATTTAAAGTTTAAATTGATTCTTGTCATTTGACTTTATTACAAATACTTAAATACCACAACCACTTCTACATATTTATATTATTATTTGAACATTTTCTGTGATTTTTTTGCCATTCAACCTGACTACAGATGAGTTAATATCATGACCACAGTTAATATCATCGTTTGAAGTTCAAATGTAGTGTGTTGTGTATATTAAAGTGCTATTTATGTAAGTTAAGTGGAAATATCTTGATATGAAGTTCTTGTGTCAAGGTGTTTTTTATATATTCTAATGTGATTTTAAGACAATCCTTAATATTTTACTCTTTTTTTACTTCAGACTGGAGCGAAGAAGAATGGAAAACAGTAGAATTTGACTTCATTGTTGGAGGGCAACTGCTGAGATTGTCTCTTCAGGAACTTTTGGATAAAAAGGAAATTTCTAATGTAATTCATATTTTTCATATCTTATTATAACCTATTAAAACACAGAAAACAAAACCTCACTGTTATAGTATTTTTGGCACTTGTGTATAAAGTTCATATCATAAATAATATTCAACGTATATATACTATAACTAACTAAATATATATATAGT